GGTTTCTCACGCATTTTTAGAACGCTGGATCTCCCATTATGGCGTCTCTTCAAATATTACCATCGACGGAGGTCATCAATGTGAGTCTAGGCTTTTTAATAGCCTTACCGACCTCCGCAGATGTTCTCGCATACGCACGACAGTATACCAGCCTTCATCCAATGGTTAAGTCGAGCGCTTCCATAGTCAACTGTAGGCCTCGCTCGGAGCTCACGACAACTCTTCCTATTGGAGCGAGCATCTGCCTTTATTGACACTCGGTATCCGTAGCGCACTTGAGCCCTTATTTAATTGCTCCGCTGCCAAACGTTTTTACGGCACTACCCTACGCACTCCCGGCGATTCTTCCGGGCATTCTCAAAGCTCAGCCAACTTGGATCCCACGGATTACGTGCAAAGACTGAGCCAGGCTGTAGCTAATCTCCGAGCGACCCCTCCACGCTCCAGCAAGTATCTCATACATTGACCCTAACTTGCTAACGTGTTCCATTGTAGATTTCCGCGTAGACGGTGTTCGTCGGTCACTTGAACGGCTCTGCGTTGCACCAGTTCGAATACCAGCTCACATGGAAAAGCATTGTAAGGTTCCCGAAACGACCGCATCGACTTGGTATTCATTAATCGCCTGAAATTGGCTTTTATGGAGCCCCTTCTCACCGCCCCAACAGAAAAACCCTCTCCACTCGGCCCAACACATCTTGCTATTTCTCAGACTCCGCTTACATCCGATAACACTGCGACTTCGCCTATCCCAATAACTCCTCCGCTTATGCGCAGTAGTCGTCATGTCCGTTTTCCTGACCTTCATCAACTTGTAATGTTTGCCTAACACTTTTGAACTCCATTCTCCTAGGAGAGCGGGGAGTATTGTAGTGATATAAAATATTTTTTGTTTAATTGATTTAAAATATGGTTTGTTATAAAATTACCACAATTTGGATAACACACGAGAGTAATGTTGTATCTCAGTTGGTAAGGTCTTTGTTCTGATTTTACCGGCATCTGGAATATTCATAGTATTACCGGCAAAGACAAGAGAGACCGGAAGGGCCGTTTCTGGCTTATTAGCCGTCGTCAGCCAGTCATACCCAGACCCACGTGGCGCTACACCCGAGCTTCGAACTCGGGACCTGTGGATCAGAGTCAAACGCCCTAACTATTGAATTACGAGCTCTTTGTCTTTCCAGTTTAGACCAAGGTATATTGACACTCGTTGATAAACTTTCATCCGACCGCAAGCGGAAGTCATCTGTCCCGCTCTGCATTGGGGCTCGACAGAGGTCCTAGCAGCTGTAGTAGCTGGTGTTAGTAGGCAGATAATATTGCCGGCAAAGGCAAGGGGGACTGGAATGGCCACTTCTGACTTATTGGCCATCGTTAGCCAGTCATACCCATACTATCTTACATCTCGATCTGCTGATCTATGCTCCCCCGCACGCAAACGACGTACTCGACAAAACCACTGAAAGGAAAATCCCGGGTGTCTAACCCAGTCATCTCGAGCAACCAAGCAGGCGATGGGAAGCACATATTCCCATCTGGTGTGGTTATTGCGAAATATTGGGTGCTTGTTTTCTCACCCAGGTATTACTACAATGTAGGAAACACCTTGTAACCATGCTGAGCTAACTTCTAGAGTAAGAGGCGCC